GGAAATCCACAAACCGCACACATCCATGGGCCATCACGAAAGTAACGGTCTGGTAGAAAGGATAAACGACACCATTCCTAACTATATTCTCGTATTTGATTAGGGCGAACATGAACACGACTGGAAAGGTCATCTACGTTCTGCCTCCTAGCCTACCGGGAGCAATTCACTCCTTCATAGAATTTTCCCAAGTACTCGTGGACCAGGCGTGACCTCGGACTGCCGAATATCCTACGCTTCCCCCTACCGAATCCCGACCCAGTAACACCCACATATTACGCTCGACACCTTCGAAAGACTCTCCGTATCTTACATAACACAGCCTACACCATTCTAGGAACAGATTCCCTTCAACAGAAAAACAAATTAGACTGGCAACAGCCGAACCTCCACACCAAATCGGAGACCTCTTAATGCATCACAACACGTTCAATCGGCGAGACTTCCAGGAAGTTCCACTAAGAGTGGCAAGGCTAGTTAGTTGTGCTCGATATCTTAAACTCCGACCAATTTTCTAATGTGCGACGCTTTATACCACGACCAACGCCTTTCATCGCACACCGTCAAACTTAAGCATCACAATGGCCGAACACCCGTCTGTTCATCTGACTCCCTCCTTGTCAACTTGCCTATTTCCTAGTCCTCAATTATTTTCTAAATATCGCCTACGATTTTCCGAAAGGGACAGATTCTGCAAACATTATAACTCATTATTGCACTTCATCGGCACAAACTGTCATAATTTTATTTGAGTACTAAATTTGTTTCGACAGTGCGTTCATGGCGCTAGAAAATGCAAATTTTCAATTTCAAACTAACTACGATCGTCATATAAGAGACTGTTTCCTCCCCCTTTGATGACGCAGTCCAGTGGATAGTGCTACACTTTACGAAGGGATCTATATTAAGAACGAAACACCAGCGGTGATCACTCTTATTATTTGAAACGATGATTTGTCCCTCCTACGACACTTCGTTAGAACTTGCGCTAGTTACCACCAATGTCCTGTTTCAGCCGTACGGATTTCGATAGGTCCCGTGTTTTACTGTTACCGATAGTACTAGAGTATTATTTCCTTTACGTTGCGTCCATAAATTTTGCGCTCCTTCTCGTAGACCATTTTAACATTAACAGTAACAGAAACATAATGTCCCAGCGATCGGGTCTTCTTCTCATTTTAGCATTGTTGTACTGTTTTATAGGTTTTTCTCCCGTTTTGTTTTACGTTATTCGTCGTTATTATTTTCATCGTGTCATCCTGAAAATACTTCCATAACTGATTTCCTACCTATTTTCTTGACGTGTCTGGCCCTGCAAATTACTCTTTTGCTGTAAAAAATGAACTAAATTGACTTAAGATAAGATTTAGATTGGTTCTTCACCCAAAAACGAAAACCATTATCCACCACCCAGATCCGTCAAAACTCTAAATTCTCCCCTCCCACTCAGAAGCTATAATTGAGCAAAATGTAGTTGAAGATTAGAACAAACCATTACTTTCGACTACCTTTACGGATAACTTTAGCTAGATCAGCATACTACAGCACTGAATTTATGTTCACACTTAATAAAATCAGAAATAATGCGAAAATACACTGATGCCTGTTGATAAAGAACACCTTGGGTGGCTTAAAAACCCATGGAAGACGAGAATAACCTAATATGTGTCTTGTTTCGATGAGAGTTCTTCGTATGGTCACCCAGTGGCAAAATTGCTTCCGTCCAATTTTCTTGCGGAAATGGTCGTTATAAGTTAAATTATTAACTATTGCGTATTTATTGAATGTTTCATGCATGATAAATGCACAGTTTTAATTTTATTGGACTAAAAAAGTGGGTGAAAAGGCTGTGGAAATATCGAAACGTACAGAAAATACCGCAAAGGCAACTCCTGTTGGTCAGCAAACGATGCGGATAGAGCAAAAAACTGTAAACAAGGATCTCTGAAGACGAAGTTAATTATAACCGCATGAGCAGATATATGAGGAACTCTTACCTCATTTTCAAAGAATACTTTTGTATGTAACGCGAACCCACAGAATATTCGTGGATATCTAATATGCGTCCAGTAAATTAAAGTCTTTTCCACCCAAGCCCAGGTAGTTGGAATACTCTGACGATATTTAAACGGGACATTTACGTTGTAACTAGGCAAGTTCGTTTGATAACTATAAAAAAATAATAATAACAAAATGTAGACACATCCCGTTTTGTTTTACTGGGCTGAATGTCAGCCGCACAGAGAGAATAAATCAAGCCCGGCGACTTAGCCTCGAGATACACTGTGGTGTGAATGGATATTATTGAGGATGGCCTTTACTTAGGCAGCCGTCCACGGAATTGCGATTTGCCTAAGTTGCGGAAGGCAAAGATTAAAGCAATTCTGACAGTTGACATGAGTCCGCTCGAAGATGCCGTTTTTAATAATTATAAGCGTCTTTACATCAAGTTGGCTGACGACCCCTCTCAAAACATACTAACTGTGCTTGAGGAAGCGTTGCTTTTTATTGAGGAAAACATACAGGAGGGCGCGGTGTTGGTGCATTGGTATGCCTTTTACCCGTTGCGTCACGTCTGTAGCCTCGCGGGCGTCTCCCGTAGTGCAACTGTTGTCATCGCCTATGTTATGCGCAAATACGGAATCTCGTATAATGATGCCTTTTACAGAGTAACGCGAATGCGTTCGGTGTGGTTGGTTGTTTTTTGCGTTTATTTTTAGTCCAAATTCAGGCTTTATCAACCAACTCAAATTGTTTGAGAGCATGAATTTTACAGTGGACGAGACTTCTCCACTGTATAAGCAGTTTGCGAATAAAGTCGGTGCTTTTCAGATAGTTTCGCGTAGGTATTCATCTGGATTAATTTTTTAGCACAAGTTGTTGGCAAGCCTCGAGTCACTACTGTGGATCCTCGTCTTTCTAATTCAATATATTATGCCTGCCGGAAGTGTCGGTATTATTCCTCATTTTTGTTATACGTCTGTCAGCAAAGTACTCTTTCATTCCGATGCCTTGGTTCACCATACTATAAAGGATAGCTATTCGGAAAGGTACTTTCCACGTCGTGTTTCTGACACCTATTAGCTGCAAATCAGGTGAACTTTTCACAGAAAGCCTGGACTGGACATCTGCCGTTACTCATGAAATTGAAGGCAAAGTAAGGACTAATGTTCGGTTGCAGTAAAAATATTCATTTATTCCACAATATGTTCTTTCATTTTTTGAGTTTTTGGTAATAAATTTTGCCTAAGTAAACTTATATATCTAATTTTGAATCCTGGGTATATATGTGAGTATGCCTTTTAATGCCAGTTTTCTTAAGGATGCATTTAACCGATCCGAAGCAGTTTTTATGCTATTGACGTTTTGCGTAAAATCAGCAAAGTTATTTGAATATTTTAGAAAGTGATACTTCTTTATCCTTGTTAAGTCACAATTTAAGACTGCTAATTTGTCAAATTGTCCAATTTTTAGTACATTCAAAATCCAATTACCTGCACATTTTGGCCACTATTAAGCACATTAGCAACTCAATAGTTTTCCTCTTCCAGTATTAAGCACCACTATCTTTGCAGCTAGTGAGTTAATACTCGAGTCCTCATCAGCCAAACATACGCATTAACGGGCATACCATCGAGCCACGGACACGCTGTCATGGCGGTTGTGATCGGACTGATGACGGCTAATAAGCCAGAATTGACTATTCCTTGACCTTTATCCATACCTTCTTATCTATATATGTCTTTTTAATTTGCCACGTTTGTGAATTCATTCAATTATGCCTCCAAAGTACTATTGGACTTAGATACTTGGAATTTCGGCAGATATAATCGAGTGCAGCTTTACAGTCGACAGGCTTTAAGTCAGGGTCGTCGCAGGCTCGAGCCGATGGTTGAATATACATCTTAATGATTTTTGAAGTTTTTAAGTTTTCATCATCTGCGGTTTATAGCTTGAAGGAGGACAAACATATTAAAAAAACATTTGTATACTTAAAAACAGCCTGTCCAGGGAGGTAGTTTGAAAAGTTGATTTTGCCTATCCATGGTGAATTCTTCCGAAGAGTACTGCGCTTGGTCATGAGACTCATGATTGATTATGCTCGCAGCACGTTCGTTTAACAGCAGCTTATATACAGTCACGTACAAAACTTGTATACCATATATTGTTTTAGTAGTATATTAACTATTTAAAACAATCTTTATAACACATGTTTCCTATAATTTCAATTAGTACACCCAGCTTGTAACTCAAGCCAAAACTTGCTTTGTTCTACCTTTCTAATCATTTAGATGCCTAGGTTTGTTTATAGGTTCTAATTGGAAAGCAGACATCCTAAGAAATATAATTTCAAGGCAAATACGTTCTTTGAGAAAACAAAATAATTTAACTGGGTGCAATCTCGACCTTGACTCTCAAAGTTGTCGTCAGACATTAGTTAATATGCAAAGAACGATAGAAATTTCAAAAGTGCTAAAAAAATCAGTAATTATCCAATGCGAGCGCTAGTTAGCTGCTGCAGTTCCATTCCAGTCTCATCCATTTTTCTCTGACATTTTTGTACCCAGCATCTAACTCAATGTGCCGATTAGTGCGTGAGCCATTAGAATATATGTCCCTAAGAAATTTGCCATCTGTCTCAAGTGGCTATGCACAGCCTTGATACAGGGCACACCTTTGCATGGGGCAAAACTCGCATCGTCGGGGCTTGCCTCTCCAAAAATGTCCGAGAATTTCTTGAAGCCATGCAATTCGATGACTCGTGTATCAACCAGCATAGGTTTTGTGACATGTCTACTAAATCACAAAAGCGCGAGCGTGCAATTTAGAATACTGAAAATAAGGAGCCGTAAACGGGCGGCAAAAGGAAAACCGGGGGACATTAAGTAGATAGTCCAGCCCGTAATGACTTGACAAAGTCAAGAAGAAAGTAAGATCAATGCATTTTTAAATATAACTTTCGTTATGATCACTGCTATTGGTATAGCTTAAGCTGCGAGCGTTGATTGCCTAAATCCTAACCATAACTTTATGCCTGAAGTCCATACCCAACCCTTAACCCACTAAATCGAACCCTAGACTTGAACATCAAGCCTAATCCTTATACTCAGCCCCTAATCTTAACATCAAGCCTAACCCTAAGCCACTTGACGGGCAATACGTGCAAGGGAATGCATTAAATTAAATCGATAGTTCCTCGAGGCACTGATTAGGCGGAGCCGCATATCCGATAATTAGTCTCGCTGAGTCGCTATTTCTGGCAGCATAGTTTTGAAATGTGCAATTTGCTATGGGGTAACACTATTGAGGGGGGGGGCTTGGTTCTGCTTATACTCTTCTCTTAGACATTATGAACAGCTTTCAATAATGGCGTTGGAGGTAACCTCGTTTATAGAATATAACGCGGTCTAGAGTTCGGTTTTAGGGCTTTGGGGCGGGGGAGTGATTATATACTTCAGTCTCGTTCTTGTCCAAGTGATTATCTGGTATAAAAATTTTTCCAATTATGTCTCCCCTCTATCCACATTATCTCTTATTTCACTGTTGGGCCTCGGCCCAGTTATGATGTTAGAGCAAGAATGTACTCAGAGCGTCACAATAACCAAGGTTAGTCATGCTGAACAGGGTAGGACAGAGTTGCCTAGAGGGAGAGATCTCTTCTAAATAAGGTTCCCGTATTGCTGCCTCAGACAGCAGTGGCCGCTAGCGAGACCAGAACGCATATTCCTGCTGTTAAATCATACAAGATAGAGAGGGGGCGGGTTCATGCATATGTGTCGAAGTGGTGCGTGTGCTGCTTTAGCCAAGGGATGGCTTGTTAAAGCAGGGTTTGGATGGTTAGGACTGTCTGAATGTACGACCGGTCAGACGGCAAGGCTAACCCGCTTGGAACCGCCGACGTAGTTGAGCATTGAACAAGGATGCCAGGTATAATAGTTATATTTTCTGTCAGTTCTTATTACCTGAATTTATAGAATGTCTGCTGTGAAAAAGACGGTAGGACTGTCCTTAGAGGTCCTACTTGCCCTTGACTTATAACCTACTTTTACATTTTGCGGTATCCCGACTTTCCCCTTTTCCGTTAAATTCCGCCAATATGAGGTCAAATTTCCATCAACAGGCATCAGGTTCCCGAGCAACAGAGGCTTATGCTGATGGAGTTGATTCTATTCAGCTCATTACATTAACTATAAATGGCTTTAATTTTATATTCTTTGGTCACTTTCGACACAATTACATGCTCATTTACATTCGTTAACCAAGAATTAAATGTTGAACCACCAATCCTGTAAGGCAGTTGGGCGGGGGGAATATATATTTAGGCGGCCCTAAAAGACGGTCTTGCGTTTCTTTTTACTCTTTTGCGGAAATTTCCGGAGCGGTTTACCCGAAATCGTTTAATTTAGGTCTTTAATGATGGCACAGGATGTATGTATGTTGTGTAGTCTCGAAAGCGCAACGGAATTCCTTCTCACTGGTAGCTCAATGGCTAGGAATGTCCGGCACTGTTTTCCGGAAGAAAATCCCATAGGCAGAAGAACGTTACCGACAAAGGCAAGGGAGATTGGAATGGCCATTTCTGGCTTATTAGCCGTCATCAGTCAGCCATACCCAATCCCAGGGGGTGCACCACCCGAGGCTCAAACCCGCGATCTGTTCATCAGGAGTCCAACGCTTTAAACATTGAGTCAGAACGATACGAGTGAGTCTTCTTACAGATCAATGAGCGTTAATCCACCAATGTTGATACTCCCGATCGAAAGCTGTAAGACAACGTGTCTGTGGCACAGTGACCG